GTCCCGCCCCCTAGCACTGCCGCGGCCCCGCCCTCACTCGACCCCGCCCCCAGGTGGTGTTTGAGAAGGGAGGGGTGTACCTGCACACCAGCGCCCGGAAGCACCAGGACGCAGACTCCCTAATCGCTGGCGTCATCCGTGTTGTGGAGAAGGTAGGTGCGGAGGGAACGGACTCGGGCGGCCCCGGGGCGCAGGCCGGTTGGGCGAGTCCTCACGTGTTCCCGATGCCCCACAGGACAGCGACGTCCTCCTGCACTGGGCTCCCGTGGAGGAGGCTGGAGACCCCACCCAGATACTCTTCTCCAAGAAGGTAGGGAGGCTCCCCGCCCCTCTTCCACGGGGACCCTTCCTCAGGGACCGTGCCACGCGTGAGCCGGAATTTCTTTGTGATCCGAAGACGCCCCTTTGCTTCTCACTCCTGGGGAAGGAAAGGGCGGGTTCCCATTTCTTGAGGGGTGTGGCATGTTTTCCCTCTCGTGCAGAGGACCCGGGTATGAGGCAGCTGCGGTTGCACAGCCCCTCCTTCTGTTCTCCGTTCTCCCAAGGACCCTAGCAGGGGAGAGCCCAGCACCTCTGAAGAGGAACCCACCTTTGACCCTGGCTTTGAACCTGACTGGGCTGTTATCAGTACAGTGCGCCCCAGGTTCCACCACTCAGAGCCCAGGAGAGGTAGGCAGGGTTATGCCCTGGAGGTCCTGTCAGACACTTACCCTGGGTGCTCATGGTTCCAAGACTACCTAGGAGGGTGAGATGGCCTGGCCCTACGTTCTGCTTCTGGACGGTTCCAGGGTGGGGACAAGCGGCAGCTAGTCACAAGGCATTTTCTATCACTTGGGAGTCAGAGTTAGGGGGGATGGAGAGGTGTCCAAACCTCCTGGGAACAGGGGGAGAGCTTTCAGGAAGAGGTGATAGATATCAGAGCTTTGCCCTGGACGACACAGTTTTCTTACTCCATTAGAGAGACCGAAGCCATATGCCACCAGGGTGCAGCAGAACTGGGGTGCCTGTGAAGCCCCAAGCCTTTTGTTGTGGTTCTAGTGGTGCCTGAAGCAAAGCCAGTGTTTAGAAATGAGCCAGACTTGCAAGGCCTCTTGCAGAGAAGTAGTCTTTATGTTGAAGGTGCATATCCACCAGGTTCTTTCCCTTCCCAGGCAGTTTTCCTTTGAAGGAAATGCCATGCAGCCTAGAGTGGCAGCTTGGTGGGGCAGTTTGGGGCAGGGCCTCAGGAGGTGGGTGCTGAGCTGACAGCCTGGGTTGACTCCTTTTGAGTTAGGCCAACACGATGCTTCTACCAGGTGCAGAGCCCAGCTCCCCCAGGGGCTCCTGGGCCTTTTCTGTGAGCCTGGGGGAGCTCAAGTCCATCCGCCGGTCCAAGCCAGGCCTCAGCTGGGCCTACCTTGTCCTGGTGACCCAGGCCGGAGGCTCTCTGCCGGCTCTGCATTTCCACCGCGGGGGCACCCGAGCCTTACTCCGTGTCCTCAGCCGCTACCTGCTGCTCGCCAGGTAAGCGTCTCATGCTGAGCCTGTGAGCTGGCCTGTCCCCTTGCGGGGACGGCTGGAGCCACCTGGGGATAAAGTGAAATTCTGATTGGAAGGAGCTAAAAAGATAAAGGCACGTGTGCCTGCAGTCCCAGAACTTGGAGGGCCGGGGCAGGAAGGTGGAAGGCACAAGCCAGTATGGGCTACCTGAGACCCTGTCTGAAGGAAAAAGTAGGGGTCAGCCGGGGAGGACTGGCCCATCTGAGTGGCAGTCAGTGGTGTTGTTCTCTTAGAGGTAGAGAATATCTTTTCTCCACATCCCGACAAAGCTCCGGGGCTACTCTCTGAGTCCAATACGCTGAGCCTGAAGTACAAGGGCCTCACTGGCTAGTGCTGGCTTATATAGCCACTCTGAGGCCCAAGCTCTGGTCTCAGGCCTCTCCTTGCAGTAATGTGTTGGAGATGGAGGACAGGGCCACTGTACCTGGAATAAGTGCAGGCTAGGCTGGCCTGGGACATCAGTGTCCCTCACCATAGTCACTTGTGCACACCTCACTCCTCCCAGCTCCCCGCAGGACTCCCGCCTCTACCTTGTCTTCCCCCATGACTCCTCTGCCCTCTCCAATTCCTTCCACCACCTGCAGCTCTTTGACCAGGACAGCTCCAACGTGGTATCTGTGAGTGTCCCCACAAAGTGGCTGAGGGCTGTGAGGTGGGTGTGGGGGATGAGATCTGGAGGGGTAGCTCTGACACCTGTCACCCCTCTCTAGCGCTTCCTCCAGGACCCCTATTCCACCACCTTCAGCAGCTTCTCCCGAGTGACCAACTTCTTCCGGGGAGCTCTACAGCCCCACCCTGAGGGCGCCTCCCTGGACCTCCCCCAGTTGCCTGATGATGAGCCTGAGCCTGGCTTTGAGGTCATCTCTTGTGTGAGTGTCAAGTGACCCTGCCTGAAACTTTCTGTTGTGTCCTGCTGGCTTGGGACCTCAAGGCCTATTTACTCCTTGGTAACATGAGAAACAGGAGCAGGGGCTGCCTAAGCTGATGTGCTGGTCAGCCAAGCCACTCCCGGCCCCTCAATGGGGGATTCTAGGCAGGGGCTCCACCACTGAGCCACACCCCAGCCCCTCACTGGGGGACTCTAGGCAGGGGCTCTACCCCTGAGCCACACCCCAGCCCCTCACTGGGGGATCCTAGGCAGGGGCTCTACCCCTGAGCCACTCCCAGCCCCTCACTGGGGTGATTCTAGGCAGGGGCTCCACCATTGAGCCACACCCCAGCCCCTCACTGGTGATCTAGGTCCAGACTCCATACTGAGCTAGGTCCCCAGCCCTCTTTCCTTTTTGAGACTCTCAGCTTTCTGGGCTGGCCCTGTACTTTGTAACCCTTAGCCTCTGAGCAGAGCAGTTGGGAGTGCAGGCCTCCTGGCTGTGGCTGTTGTTACTATTATGTGCCTTCACTTGGAGGTGAGTGAGATGGGCTTGGGGCTTACCTGGCCTGTTTCCTATAGGTGGAGTTGGGGCCACGGCCCACAGTGGAGCGGGCTCCTCCAGTCACAGAGGAGGAGTGGACCCACCATGTGGGTCCTGAGGGCCGCCTGCAGCAGGTCCCCGAGTTGAAAAGCAGGATCTTCTCTGGGGTGAGTGTCAGTGGGTGGAGGACAGGATGGGCTGGTGGGTGGCCAGGGCGACTTGACCTTTTGGTCCCATTGTACCCACAGGGTCTCAGCCCCGGCCTGCGGCGTGAGGCCTGGAAGTTCCTCCTGGGCTACCTCAGCTGGGAGGGCTCGTCTGAGGAGCACAAAGCCCACGTGCGCAAGAAAACGTGAGTGGAAAAACATGGCCCCCACATTCTTTGAACACCTCTGCCCTACGAGGCTCAGGTCTTGACTGCCGGGTGGATCAGTGGAGGCCCTAGGCCTGGCACAGTGCTTCATGGACCCAGTGCCAAGCTGGCACTGACACTGTCCGTGCAGGGGCGCTGCAGGGAGTGGCCCTGCCCACCTGGGTGGCAGTCTCCTGGCCCGGAGCTGTGCTGGTGTAACACTGCAGCTCTGCAGTGACTGTCTCATCTCAGTCCTGTGGTGCCTCGCTGCTGTGGACAGCATGCATGACAGACACTCACCAAATTCCATGGGGTGTTCTGTGGATTGAGATGTTGGGGTGAGAGGAGAGGGAGTGGCCAGGGAGCCGGGGGCTGCTTGCCCCTGTGTCAGGACTGAGCTGGGGTGGTGGTGGGGTGGATGTGTGCTATGTCTGCCGGGCTCAGCTCTGTGCTCTCCTTCAGGGATGAGTACTTCCGCATGAAGCTACAGTGGAAATCTGTGAGCCCCGAGCAGGAGCGAAGGAACTCACTGCTGCACGGATACCGCAGCCTCATTGGTGGGCACCCTGGGACATGTATGCAGCCATGTAGCATGGGTGACAGATGGGAAGCGGTGAGATGGGAGTTGGGGTGGTAGGGTGAGCATTGATGGGGAGGCAGTGCAGGGGGAGAGGCCCCGGGGTCACTCGTTAGGTGTCTTTTCCTCCCTGCGCCTCAGTTTCCCTATTTGCAGAGGCTGTGACCAGACCCTCCCATTGGGAGTGCTGCTGATCGGCTCTGGCTCCAGTTCCACTCCGGACCCAGCCTGAAGTCAGGGCTGCTGGCAAGCAGGGGAGTGGGGCTGGTGCCCGTCACTATCAGGAAGGCCAGCTAACCTCGTGTCTGCACGTGTTGGGTCCCCACAGAGAGAGACGTAAGCCGCACTGACAGGACCAACAAATTCTACGAGGGCCCCGAGAACCCAGGGCTGGGCCTGCTCACTGACATCCTCCTCACCTACTGCATGTACCACTTTGACTTGGGTGAGTGTGAGGTGAGGGCAGGCCTAGGTCAGCCCGGTGCCCGTGGTGCCACAGCTGACCCTGTGTCCCCCAGGCTATGTTCAGGGCATGAGTGACCTCCTGTCCCCGATCCTCTTCGTGGTGCAGAATGAGGTGGACGCCTTCTGGTGTTTCTGTGGCTTCATGGAGCTTGTGGTGAGGCTGGGGGTGAAAGAGGGAGTGGGAGGCACAGCCCCTCAGCCATCTTATCAGCCTCCTGTGGGACCCTCTCACCTCTGGCTCCCTGCAGCATGGGAACTTTGAGGAGAGCCAGGAGACTATGAAGCGGCAGCTTGGGCAACTCTTGCTGCTCCTGCGGGTGCTGGACCAGCCACTCTGCGACTTCCTGGGTAGGCCCTTTGTGGTAGGTGGGACAGAGGATGGGCGAGATTGTCTGTCAGCAGCCTCAGGGTGATGGGGGCATTTGATTCTTGTCTGAATGAGAAAAATACACCTGGCATTCAAGGTTACAGGGTGGAGGGAAGGAGGGCCCTGCACGCAGGCTCTCTTGGGCCAACTGAGGTTTCTTTGGACCCTCACAATCCAGCTATGTGCTTTTTCCCCACTGCTTGTTCAGTATGCTGAAGGGCTGGGGCCCCGTTGGCAGAAAGCTTGCCCACTGTGCATGAAGCCCTGAGTTCCATCCCCAGCACCACATACACTGGGCATGTTGGCACACACCTGTCATTCCAGCACTCAAGAGGCAGAGACAGGAGGATCAGAAACTCAAGGTCATCCTCATCTACACAGGGAGTTCAAGGCCAGCCTGGGCTTCATGAGACCCTGCTGTTGAGGGTTGTGTCCCTGAGCAAGTGTGACCACGCTGCAGGAAGCTGACATGGCCCTGGCCTCACCTCACTGGAGAGGGACTAGCCTTAGGAAAGCTTGTATCACTTCCTGGCCTCAGGGACACAGCTGTGTGTTACAAGGGCTCCCGAAACCCGGAATGTCCACTCTGCCTACAGGATGGCTTAGGATTGGTTTAACGAACCTGGGCGTTCCAGTCACCAATGGTCTAGATAAGGCCCCTAGGTTCCTAGGAGTGACTGTCCAGGGTAGCACTTGCTTTCACAGCCGTGGACTGTCCTTGTGGCTGTCCTGCAGTCACCATACCTACCAGCATCCTCAGGGTGCCTAGATCCAGGATGCTTTTTGGGGTGTGATGGATGTCTCACTGCGACCCTGGCCCCTGAGGGGAAGTTGGTGGTAGTGGTGTGGATCCCCTAGAGCGCAGATAGAGAGGTCCCAGGGCAGCCATTGTCGCCTGCCTGCCCTAGAGCTCCTAACAGCCCACCCTGGCTGCACAGCACGTTGTGGCTGGACCCGGATCTGATTGCCTGCTGGTCTCATCTTCTGCAGACTCGCAGGACTCGGGCTCTCTCTGTTTCTGCTTCCGATGGCTGCTCATCTGGTTCAAGAGGGAGTTCCCCTTCCCAGATGTCCTGAGGCTGTGGGAGGTGGGCAGCCATTTTGGGTGGGAAGACTGGGAGGTTGAAGGAAGGTCTGTCGGCCAGGGCAGGTCCTAAGCATTCCTTCTGACCCCCAGGTGCTCTGGACGGGTCTCCCTGGCCCCAATCTGCACCTTCTGGTGGCCTGTGCCATCCTGGACATGGAGCGGGACACGCTTATGCTGTCTGGCTTTGGTTCCAATGAGATCCTTAAGGTGAGGTGGGAGCAAGCCCCTGCTGTGGCCCTGACCTGGGTGTGGCGTCCTCTGCAGTGCACTGTGCTGGCCTTGGGTGGTTGGGAGCCCTGCCAGGGTGGGGCAGAGGTGGGATGGTGTCCCCATCCTGTGTTCCACCAGGCTACCAGCCCTGTGCCCTTAGAGGGGTGGTGGGGGACCCATGGCCCTCCCTGTGGTGTCCCAGAGTCCAGCATGCTCTGGAGGACTATGCAGCCAGGGAAGCCTCGCCAGCCTCTGCCAGCTGGGCCCCCAGGGCCAGCCTGGCTTCACTTAATATTGAGTCCCCAGCAGCAGGTGGAGCGTGGGTGCTGCCCTGCCTGCTGGGTTGTGGTGAGCAAGGCAGCCTGACCTACCCCCTCCTGTAGCACATCAACGAACTGACCATGAAGCTGAGCGTGGAGGACGTGCTGATGCGGGCCGAGGCCCTGTACCGGCAGCTGACTGCCTGCCCGGTGAGCCCACAGGGCTGTGAAGCCCAGACACCCCCTGGCCCAGCCCGTGGCCCCGCCCACTTCCCCCGGCTCTGCCTACCACCCCCACTTACTGGCCCTGCCTGCAGCCACACCCACCTACCCAGCCCCTCCTGACTCCCCCGGTCCGCACCGCAGGAGCTGCCCCACAACGTGCAGGAGGTGCTGGGGCTAGTAAGGCCCGCAGAGCCCGGCAGCCCCTCGCCGCCCGTGTCCCCAATGTCGCTGTCGCCCACTCGGGCCCCGCCACCCGCGGATGCTCCGCAGCCCGACAGCAGCCTGGAGATCCTGCCAGAGGAGGAGGACGGTCCCGACGCCTAGTCCCGCTCTGGGCGCCCGGCTTTAGCCGAGCCCTTGATGGCCAGCGGGGTGCAAGAGGGAGGGCGCCCCGCGTTGGGAGGCGCGTCGGTGTGCCGAGCACGGACTGCTGGGAGCCGCCCCGCTGCTGCTAAAGGAAATAAACGGCTGTTGTGTAGCCCACTACTGCCGCTGTGTAGTTCAGGCTGGCCCTAGCGCGGTCCACCCAGGTGTCGGCTGACAGTGGCCACCCCGCAGATCCCTCCCCCCCAACCCGTGCCCACTCCTTGGCGCAGAGCAGCTCGGCTGTAGGGAGGACCCGGCCACTTGGTTTCCAAAACCAGTTTAATGTGGGGCTGGCCTTTGGGTGCTGTGCCGGAAGGGCCGCGCAAGCGCGTGGCGGTCACCCTCCTGGTCTTTGCAGCCGTGGTGGCTGGACTTGTGCAGGTGCATCAGCGGCGGGCTGGGTGCCGGTGCCCGTGCCCTTCGGGGCTGGCCTCCCCCTCCTGCTCCTCAGGGTTGATTTGCGATTACTCGAGCCCCTGCCCTTCGGGGCCGGCCTGTTCCTGGACATGCTCTTGCTCTTCTGAACCGGCCTCCGCGTGCTCACGCACCTCGGGCCCGGCCTCCGCGTGCTCCTGCTCCTGCTTCCCGAGAGCTGCCTCCACCTGGGTCTCCGCCTGGGCCTGCCCTTGGGCCTGCGCCTGCTCCTGCGCGGGCACTTGAACCTGCCTCTGCGGGGGCCCCTGTGTCAGCCCCTGACCCTGCCCCCGAGGTAGCCCCTGCGCCTGCTCCTGCGCCTGTTTCTGCCCCCAGTGGTTGTTGATCTTGATGGCTGCCCGCAGTGCTGACTTGATGGCCGTCTCCACCCAGCCGTGCGGGTGGGCGGTGTGCTCGCCTGCGAAGTAGACGCGGCCGAAGGGGGACGACCAGTCAAAGTCCTCGACCCCTTCCCAGAGCATGGGTGGCTGCACCACGAAGCCGCCCTGACTATGCGCGTCCTCCGCCCAGCGCTTGACCATGCCGGTGCCGTCCCACAGGCGGATCACTGAGGACCCGTGCAGGGCCGCCACGTCCTGGAGCGCCTGGCGGAGCGCCTGGTCCGGGCTCAGGCCTGCGAACGGGGTGGCGGCGTCCGACCAGGTGTAAGAGGCCAGGAGCAGCGCGCCCTCGCCGGGCGGCGGGTAAAAAATAAGGCGCGACGGGCGGTCGGTGTTGGAGTGGCCGCCCTCGATGTGTTCCTCGCTCCAGAAGGGCCGGCGGAAGCTAAGGAAGACCTTGCTGGCCGCCACGTAGTGCAGCCCCCGCAGCGCCTCCTGCCTCTTGCGCGGCAGCGGCGGCGAGAAGGTGATGCGCTGCACTGCGGGTCCGCTGGCAGTCACCAGCACCGCGTCCGCAGTCAGCGCCTTCAGGGTCTGCGACTTAGCGGAGGTGGCGATGTGCACGCGCACCTCCTGCGCTCTCTGCGTGATGGCCACCACCGGCGCGTTCAGCAGCAGCGGGCCGGACAGCGAGCTCAGCAGCGCGCGCGGCAGCAGGTCCCAGCCCCCCGAGATGCGGCTGTACCTGGGGGGGGGGGCGTGAGGGCGTGACCGGGTGCCAGGCCCCGCCTTCGTCCCCCCGCCCGTCCTCCGATCCACCCGCCCCGGCCCTCACCGGAGCCGGTCGCTCAGGCAGCTGTGCGCACGCAGGGCCTCCTGGAAGCTGAGGTAGAAGAAGCCCTCCTTGGACATCACATCCCCCAGGAGCTGCACGGCCGCCCGGGTCAGGTTGCCCTCCCGGAGGAGGTATTCCTGTGGGTGCACGCGAGCCCGGTCAGGGTCGGCCGGCAGCAGCCGCGCCCCAGTACCCTCTCTGCCTGGCCTCGTGACCGCAGAGGTAAACGGAGGGCCAGAGGGCGGTCCTGGGGCCCGGGGGTCTCCAGCGGCAGCGCACTCACCAGGAGCGTCTGCCTGTTGAACTTCCTCATGGCCTGCTTGCAGCCCAGGGTCTTGAGATCCGCGAGGGCCTGTCGGGAGCAGAGGACCCTGGCTGTAGCAAGAGGGCTGGGCTCCCGGCTGGTCCTGCTGGGCACCGACAGCCGCTCACCACCCCCTTCGGGGTCCCTGGTGTCCCTTCCTCTCCCCTGCCCACCCAGCGACATTAGGCCAGGACGGCCTCGGCTGTGCTGCCTTGCAGAGCTCAAGGATCGTGTCCAGACCATGTAGCTGTACACAGGGGCGTCCCTCTCACCCAGCGGAGCCAGCGAGGTCTGCTCTCCTGGTCCCTCTGGCGCACAGCCCCTCTGGGGCTCCCCAGCCTCTGCCATCCCTCAGCCTGGCCCCCAAGGCCCGCCAGGCTGCATCACCCTTCCCTGCAGCAACAGTTGTAGCTCCAGGGAACAGTGTCAGGACAGAGCCACCTCAGGGGCTCTGCTGAGGTGACATCCCCCCCCTCGAACTGCATCTCCTGCCCCTCACATAGGGATCTGCCTTCAGTGCTGCACCCAAACCCACCCCAGCTGCTCTGTTCACTGGGTTCCCACCTCTCTCTTGCCTGACTCTCCCCGGTGGTGGGACCGGTGTGGGGTGATAGACCCCCTGGGTGGGGTGTGCCTAGATCACCAGGTGGACTTGGGGGGAGGGTCCAGCTGGAGAAGCTGGAGGGATGGGGAGGCTGGCTTGAGTGGACTTTGGGAGGCACCTGAGGCCCACACAGGACTGTGAGCAGGGTCAGCTCTGCATGGGAAAAGACCCTTCTGGGACAGGGGAGGAGGAAGGAGGGGAGGGAGGCTTGTCACCTGGGAGCCTGTTAGTCAATGGAGCCCAAGTAGGGGCCAGACAGAGTCCCAGGAATAGGAGTGGGGTGGGAGGGATGCGGGTCAGCAGGGTGCTAAGGTGGGAAGGGCTTGTGGAGTGGGCTGGGGGCTGCCACCTTGTTGAGCGCCATCTGGTAGATGTCCTCTGGCGAGTGGCCCCTTTCCCTGCGGCTCAGGTCGTAGCCCAGCTTCTCCGGCATCTTCTCCACCACGTAGTTGCGCAGCTTTACTTCGTTCACCTGGGTCCACGTGTTTTCATCATACTGCATGAACTGGGTGATGTTGAGGCCCAGGGTCTTACAGAGCTTGTGCAGGATCCTAGGGGGTGGAGGTGGGAGGCTTCCTGAGGGGTGGGGAGGATAGGCAGGGGGTGACTGAGGAGCTGAGGACAGCTCTTGGGTAGGGTTGGCTGCCAAACTGGGTGTGAGTGGAGCTTGGGCAGCTAGCAGCTGGCTGGGGGTACTGAGGGCATCCCTAGGCTCTGGGGAAGACATACCTGGCTCAGGTCAGGCTGAGTGGGGAGACAGGGGTCAGGACTGGACATGATACTGGATACTGGAGATGCAGCTTGAGGCCACAGGCTCCATCCTCAGCACCACAAAACTGGCACTGGAGCCTGAGCCCTAGCTGAACCTGGATCAGGGATGGGAGTTGACTATGTTGCGGGAGAAGGAGCTGGGGCATGACTGGCCCTGGATCTTGGACTGAACTAGGGTTGACTGAGCCTGCATTAGGGATGGAGCTAATTTCTGGCTGAGCCTGGATCTGGGAGGGAACTGGGGTTGACTGAGCCTGGGGTGGGGGATAGCTAGAACTGACTGAGCCTGGATCTGGGATGGAGGAGGACTGGTTGAACCTGGGTGCCAAAGTGGGGCTGGGCTGACTGGGTGGGCAAGACCTCACCTGTGAGAGCTGGGCATGCGCATGGCCCCCAGCTCCCCTATCCAGCCTGTCTTTGTATCCCGGTAGGTGAGGATTCGACCCCCAATCCTGTTGTCTGCCTCCAGGATGGTGACCTGAGGGATAAGGAGGGACTTGAGCCTCTTCCTGACTCACCCGCACTGCAGGGCACACCTAGATTCTTCAGGGTGGAGGGAGGTTGCTGGGAGAACAGAAAGTGAGGTTTCAAGACTGCATCAGGAAGACCCCCAGCTGGACGGTGCAGGGACTTCCCGGCCCAGGGAAGAAGTGGGGAGATTTCCCAGAATGCCCAAAAGATCTGGCCTGGCCCATTCTCATTCCTGGATCTCAGTGCAGGGAATTCCTCAGTGCCCCAACATAGACACCCATCTTGATGCAGCCTGATGATTACATTTGATGGGGAGAGTGGGCCAGGGAGTCCTTGGCAAGGGTGGCTTCTTCCTGTCCACCTCCCACCACCCAGGGCTCTCTTTATGCAGCAGAAAGGGCTCCAGGTGCAGCACTTCTCACCTTGTGTCCGGCATCGCTGAGCACCTTGGAGGCCACCAGCCCGGCACTGCCTGCGCCAACCACAATCACCTTCTGGGGCTTCAGGGTGCGATTGAGCCCCAAGGTCACCACCTTGAGCAGGTCCTGGTAGTCAGGGTCCTCCATGCATGCCTCGAAGGGGTCCTGTATGGAGGCTGCCTTCCAGTCCAGGGAGGCCACCAGGCTGAGGAGGATGGGCACCAGGACGCGGTGTGGGGCTGGTGAGAGGATAGGGTCAGTGCACCGGGCAGCAGTGGATGCGGGAGTCACCCTTCATCCCAGGACCCCTTGGTTGCTCACTTACCCAGCGTAGCCATGGCTCAGGTGGCAACTGCCGTCTGAAGTGGAGAAGCAGGGGCCACCGACAGGGCTGGGACTCCCTAGCCTGCCCCCCTCCTCTCTGGGCATTTATGTCCACAGACCTGATCCTCCAACCCCTTTACTCCTGGCCCACTCCCCTCCCTCCTGCTTCACAGCCCTGGGCTCTGGGTGCTCATCCACTCTACCTCCAGCTCTCAGGACCAGACAGCAAGGCTGAGCCATGCAGGCGCCCTTTAAACCAGCCAGCCCCGCCCCACCTCCCTGGGGAAGTGAAAGTGCTTTCCTGGGGTTTCAGATGCTGGTGGCTGCCCACAGGGAAGAGGGTCTGGAGGAAGTTAGTTCATTTTCTTCCTCCTGCCTCAAATAGTTCTGAGGTAGCTGCGGAGGCCATAAATAAGTCCCCAGGGTGGGGACTGCCCATCCGGGTGGCATCGGCTTCTGCCTGCCCTGTGCTCTTGGCCTCCTGGACTCGTGAGGTGGGGGGGCGGTGAGGATCTTTGGTCTTGGGGCTGTGTTGTCCCCCCACCCCCATCTCTGAGTTCTTCAGTGGCTCCCCTCCTCCCTGGAGCTCCAGGCCCCAGTCTCTAGCTCTGTGGAATGGGCTCTTGGGGCAGTATCTTCCGCACCATTACCCAGCCATGCCTGCTGCTGTCAGAGGGTCCAGCACAGCATGGCAGGAGTGTAGCCAGGTCAGGGCCCACACATAGTGCTTGGCCATGTCAAGAACCTGCTGCTGAGGCTGCAGGGAGTGGGGCGGAGTGGTGGCAGCTGAACGGTCTACTGGCCCCTCCTTCCCACCTGTGTTGAGGCGCACCAGTCAGTGGACTATGGGGTGGCATCAGAGATTGGCCTCAGGAGCCTCGGTCTCTGGCCCTCAGGAAGCTGTGGGCAGGGAGGGTCAGGTGACACCAGCTATGCCCGAAGCTGGTGGGGGTGAAACAACAGGGCTGCAGGGGGTGGCTTTCCTTGGGGTGGAGAAGAGGGGATTAGGGGAAAAGCCAGGGTGGAGTATTACCCAGTGCCCAGGCTGGGGAGCTGCAAGGTCAGTGGAGCAGAAGGCGGTGTGTGCATGTGTGTGCACGTGTGATGTGGTGGAGCACTGGCCTTGATGGACACCATGTGGGGCCAGGTAGTCCCTAGTTCCAGGCTAAGTACTAAGGAGCTCCAGACAGTCACTTGGGGACTCCCCATGGGGTGACAGTTTTGAGGTCACAGTGGTCTTCCTGGAGGATGGCTGGTGGGGCCTTCATGGCTCACATCAGTTCTTGGTTTGGACCCCAAAGTGGAAGTGTCAACCCAGCCAGTGAGTGGGTGTGTGTCCATGAGTCCTGAGGGCCTGGTCTTCTGTCAGTGAGGGGGGTGGGGGTGTGTCCACAGCCTCCTGAGGGCCTGGTCTTCTGTCAGTGAGGGTGTGTGTGTGTCCATGAGCTCCTGAAGACCTGGTCTGTCAGTGGGGTGGGGGGGGTGTGTCCACGAGCTCCTGAGGGCCTGGTCTGTCAGTGAGGGGGGTGGGGTGTGTCCATGAGCTCCTGGGGGCCTGGTCTTCTGTCAGTGAGGGGTGGGGTGTGTCTACAAGCTCCTGAGGGCCTGGTCTTCTGTCAGTGAGGGGGGTAGGGTGTGTCCACGAGCTCCTGAGGGCCTGGTCTTCTGTCAGTGAGCACAGTGTATGTCCACAGCCTCCTGAGGGCAGTGAGGGTATGTGTGTCCATGAACTCCTGAGGGCCGGGTCTTCTGTTTTTTTTCTGTTGGTGGTGGTGTTGGTGTTTTTGTTTTTTGAGACCAGGTCTCATTGTGTAGCCCAGGCTGGCATTATTGTAGCCTAGGTTGGCCTTATTCGGTAGCCCAGGCTGACCTCAAACTTGCCATGATCCTTCTGTCTGCCTCAATGTACTGAGTGCTGGGATTTCAGGTGTGAACCACCACGTGCAGTGGCCTGGCTTGCATTCACAGTGGCCATAGAAAACCCCGCACACAGTAGGTGTGTGTCAGGGGGGAGGTTCACCAGCTTCTGGGTTCCTGTTGGGAGTGGGCTGGGACTGTCCAGCCTCAGCTACCATGAGACCATGAGACCTGATCTCAAAATAAATAAAAACAAAAATTCCAGTGTTAGTTCAGAGCAATATTACTTGGTGGGGACTAGGGGTGCACAGGTGTGGCTGGTGGGCTGATGAGCTCCCCAGAGACAGACTGATCTTCCCTGGTTACACTGGGGACTTGGGACAAAGCAGGCTTTGTGGAGATGGGACCACACAGGTGGAGAACAAGAGTCCTATAGATGAGGCTGTGTCCTGCAGGGAGAGCAGGAGCCTGGACACTGGTCAGCGTGTGTGTGTGTGTGTGTGTGTGTGTGTGTGTGTGTGTGTGTGACACATAGAAGTACCTGTCTGCTTTTGCTGTTTTTGGGAAACCCAGCTTCATGGTGGCGCGTCTGGAAAAACACTTTGGGACCTTCTAGGTGGAAACAGTTTAGGGATCCCCTTCCCAAGAGAGCCCCAGTGATAGTGCCATGGGGCCTTGGCCATGTTTTCAGCTCACAGACCCAGCTCAGGCCTCTCAGGGGCCCTTAAGGCAGGGTCAGGGCAGACAGCACACCCCAAGGTTTCACACTGTGCCTCCCTGGCTCAGTCTGAAGCCTTAGTGGTCAAGGAGAGGAGCTGGGGAGTGCCCAGGGCTGGACAAGGGTCCCTGCCCCAGAGTTCAATCCCTTCCCCCACCCCCACCTCAGGTAGGGGAGACTCACTGCATGCTGGCCTCTGGGGGGTTCTCTCAGTGCCCATGGCCTTTCTGCTCAGCCTGGGATGGAAGTCATCGTGGGGCACAGGCGGAACTAGGGCAAATGCGGTGGCTTTGTCCTGCTGCCCCATTAGGCCAGGGAAGCCAGGTCCTGATGAGGAAGAGCAATTTGGAGGGTGTGGCCGGCAGGCCCTCTTCTTATACTGATGCAGGAACATTCCAAAGAACCCCTACTTTTGTTTCTTGAGACAGTCTCCTTCTGTAGCCCAGGATGACCTCACACTTGTGGCAATCCTGCTGTGGCCTCCTGAATGCTGGGGAGTCAGGTGGGAGCCACCACTCCCTGCTCAGCTTTATCTTGGCCCTGATGGGGGGGGCTGTTTAGAAGCACACCCCAGATATCAGTGTTCTGTGGGTAGTGACCTCTGCAGTGCTCAGCTTCCCAATGAATACTGGAGGCTTTACAGGCCAGTCTGTTCTTAAGGCTAGGCAGTCACAGCCAGCCTCTGCTCTAGAAAACAGGAACTTAAAAAAAATTGAAGTGTTTTGCCTACATGGATATAAGTACACCAGTGCACAGTGCCCATGGAAGCCAGAAGAGGGCATCGGATCCTCAGGCTCTGGAGTTACAGACATTATCCACCATGTGGGTGCTCAAAACCAAACCTGGGTCCCCTGCAAGAGCAGCCAATGCTCTTAATTGCTGAGCCAGCTCTCCGGCCCCTCAAAATGTCTTTTTAAATGATTAAAAAATTGAGCTGGGCATGGTGGTGCACTCCTTTAATCCCAGCACTTGGGAGGCAGAGGCAGGCGGATCTCTGTGAGTTCAAGGCCAGTATGGAACTACATAAGAAAGTTCCAGGCCAGCTGGAGCTACAGGGAGACCCTGTCTCAAAAAGCCAAAAAATAAATAATAAATAAATAAATAAAATAAAAGCCCTGGGTTCCATCCCCAGCACCACACAAACCAGGTGTCTTCCTGTAATCCCAGCCCTTGGCAGATGGTGGCAGGAGAATCAGTTCATGGATATCTTGCAGCCACATGGGGAAAACTTGAGGTCAGTCTCTATCCTGAGATAAGAGACCCTATCTCAAAGCAAATATTTACAATTAACTTTTACTAATGATTATTTGAAACTCGTTACTTCCTATTTGACTACATTTTACTTATTACTTTATTTTTGACACTGTAGCTCAGAATGACCTCCCCGGAGCTGGATCATGAGGGAGAAGAACCGAGGAAAGCCTCCACCTCCGCACACACACACACACACACACACACAGAGTCACCTTCACTGCCTTCATGGTGGGTAAGGAAGACCAGCAGAGCATGGCACCTGCCTGTGTTCCTCCTGAAAAGGGAAACTGCAGTTGTAGTGAAGCTGGGCAGTGCCCAGCAGAGTGCAAGCCCTCTTACCATCCTGGGAACCACTCCCCAACTCTCTTATGGGTCCAGGACACTAGCTGGGGGATCTCTTCTGACTGCTGTATTCTTCAAAGTGGGGAGCCCAAGATCTTCAAGGACTGAGATTAGGATGACTATTTAAACCATTTTTATGTGTATGTTTTGCCTGCATGTAAGTACACCTGTGCATGCCATGTCCCCATGGAGGCCAGAAGAGGGCATCAGATCTCCTGGAGCTGGAGTTACAGATTGTTGTTAGCTGCCACATGGGTGCTGGGAACCAAACTCCTGCAAGAGCAGCCAGTGTTCTTAACTACTGAGCCATCTCTCTAGCCCCTTAAAATATTTTAGTTCTGTTTATCTCAGTGTGTGATGTGTGGGTGCCCACAAAGGCCAGAAGATGGTGTCAGATCCCCTGGAGCTAGTTACAGGAGGTTGTGAACCATCCAGCATGGGTGCTGGGTATCAAACCCGGGTCCTCTGTAAGAGCAACAAACACTCTTAACCACTGAGCCATCTCTCCAGCCCCCTTCAATTTGTTTTTTCAAATACTAGGCAGCTTGGGGTGTGATGTAGGGACAAAGTGTGTAGCTGTCGAGTAAGAGACCCCAGGTTGACCCCAACATCTCCTTCAAACATGAAGACAATTTAGCCTTGTTCGTGGTCCCTATACAAATACAAAGGATTACATGCAGAAATGTAAGCTGAGCATCTTTTATTGAGCCCTGCCTGGGCCAGCCTCCTGGGCCAACAACTGAGTTTCTAACTCCATACATATGTAGGAGGAGTAGGGTAGCAACAAGCCAGTCGCACCCAGTCGGTGGACTAGAAGCCTGAACACGCTGGGGAGGCTGAGGCTGGAAGCAGCTTGAGGGTCTGGGCTACAAAGAGGGACCATCTTCAACCACAAAGGAAATTCTATCCTCTGGGTCCCTGCCCTTCCTTGCCTGTCTGGCCTCCTACTCTCTATGTAGCTGAGGGTGACTTCCAACTCCTGATCCTTCTGCGCAGTCTCCTGAATGCTTGGCTTATAGGTCTGCACCATCATGCGGGCTTCTCTTGTACTTGCGTCAAGTTCCAAGAAAGTAACTTTTGACCCCACTCAGAATCACGACTCTTAAGTGTGGCCGGGCTGTGCAGGTTCCCTTCCCCTTCCACTGCTGCTCAGTGCTCAGCCCACAGAAGGCCATCATCTGGAACCACCCTCCCAGTGTTCCTGCACCCATGGCTGATGATGTCATGGTGGTACATGCACCCTGTGGGTAGACAGGGGACTAACCATTGGGAGGGGAGGGAGCAGGAGGCCAAGACACACTACTTTCCTCTTTTGCCAGGAGGGCAGGAACTGGGCCCTTGTGACTCTTGACACAGTGGCATGCCCTTGACATCCACAGCTTCCGGGGTCTTCTGGCCTTGAGCCTTTATGACTATTCACACCACACACACACAGCAAGCATGGTCTCACAATACAGACTTTATTTAAGAAAGCAACATCTGATGAGGGCCCTGGAGGCTGAAAAGACAGTTGGAGCATGGTTTTATGTCTGTGACACTTGTTCTGGTACTAGATTGCTCAGAAGCAAGTCTGTAGCACCCCCCCCCCCAGGTCACTTTAGCAGGTATTTTGCGGGGGGCAGGCATCCTGCTGGGGCAAGGGAGATGCTCGTCCCTGCCACAGGCACGCAGGGACAATCTAGGGGTGGGAGGACAGTTTGGTGTTCCTTGGGTACTCTGCTGTGTGGTTGAGGGGCTCTGGAAGGCCTGGACAGGGTGGGGTGGGGCTGGAGCGCAGGAAGCCTGGGCTCAAACCCACTGGGTCTTCCGCCCTTCGCCCTGGCAGGTCCCTTGGTTGCCATCTCATTTGGAGCTCTGTCTCCACATCCAGGGCTGACTGTTGTGAGTGCAAGACCTGGTCCTCCATATCAGGCCAGTGCTCTGAGGGCGACTACTCACAGCCTGACCTCAGTGCTGGAGTAAGGCTGAGTAGGGGGTTGGTCAGGTGGCTGAGGAAGGGGACGTGGGATGGGACTAACAGAAAACGAGCCAAGAGGCTCCTGCCTTCACTCCACAGGACTTGTGTTTTCTTTGAAATCTTGTTTTGGAGAGGCTGGTCTAGAGTGTAGTGATCCCGCTGGTCTCCAGCTGTTGATTACAGGCCAAGATTCCAGGCCTGGCAGAACACTATCTGAAGGGTAAACCCCGCCCCCCCAAAGGCAAGCAACTGGCAGGCAAGCCGGGCAGCCGGAGGCAGCTCAGTCGAAGGCAATGCGCAGGCTGCGCTCCTGCTCCTTGCGACGGCCCTCGCACACACGGCTGGCCTCCTCCACCTTCCTCTGCAGCAGGGCGGAGCTCTGGTCCACCCACTGCAGGGAGTCCATGTGTGCATTGAGAATCTTGCAGATCTGCTGCAGTGGGTCGCTGGTGTCCGCAGGGCCACCTGCTGTGTTCAGGTGCTCGATGATGTCCTTGAGGTCCTGTGCCATGCGCTTGAGCTGTGCGTCGATGTTCTCCGCCAGCTTGTAAGTCTTCTCACGCTCCTCGTCGGCGTGCTGCAGGTAGATGGTCCCACTCTGCTCCTTCACAGACTCCTCCAACGGGCTCAGCAGGTCCTCCAGCTCCTTCTGCTGCGACAGGATGAAGTCTAGCTCCTGGTCCAGCCGCTTCTGGTCCAGCTTCACTTTCTCCACCTCACGATGCAGGCTGGTGATCTTTTCCCCGTTCTCTATCAGCGTGCGGTCCCAGGCATTGACCTGCGTGGCCTGCTGCAGGAAGTGGCGCTCCTGGTCCTCCAGCTCCAGGCTCCACTTGTTGATCAGGCTCTCCAGCTGCGCATAGGTCATTGAGGGGCCTGTGGTGGTCCCAGCTGTTGTGCTGGGGACAGGCAGAGTGGTCCCGGTGGATGCCACGCTGCTGGGGATGCCGGCTGGCACCAGGGGCTTCAGACTCAAGGCAAAGCCAGAGGTGGTGGTGGTGGTTGTGGAACTGGTGGTGGAGGCCCCGGGAGCTGCTCCAGGGGCCTTGAGGCTGAAGCTCAGTGTCCCCGCCGCGGGGGCTGCCGTAGTGGTTGCTGGAGTTGAGAGGGAGAGCCCTGTGGCAGCAGAAGAGGAGGGAGTGGCTGCTATGGAGGAAAAGAGTGTGGGCCCCACGCTGCTGCTGCTGCTGCTGCTGCTGCTGGTGGGCAGGGCAGCAGCGGACTGTGTGGCTCCTGCTGTGGTGGCTGCTGGTGTGGCTGGAGTGAAGGGCAAGCCAGAGAGTGCCGAGGGCTGAGCCGAGCTGCCCAGGGAGCCGAGGCTGAAGCTAGAGGCCCCAGGCTGGGCTGTACTGCCACTGGTGAAAGAGAATCCTGTGGAGGCAGTGGACGGAGCGGCGGTGGAAGAGCCAAACACAAAGCCCGTGGGGGCTGTGCCCTGGCTGGAGGTGGCGGTGCCCAGGCCAGCACTGGGGAGGGTGCTGCTACCGAGTCCGAAACTGCTGGTATTTACTGGGGCTGGAGCGGCGGCTGGGGTGCTCAGGTTGAGCTTTGGGGTGCTCATCCCCAGGGAAAAGCCCGCTCCTCCGGAAGCAGGTGTTGTGTTTCCAAAGCTGAAGCCTGAGGTCTGTGTGGTCGGGGCCTGGGTGCTGAGTGAGAAGAGGCTGCTGGAAGGGGTGGATGCGGCTGGCTGGGAGGAAGCCCCGAAGTTAAACCCTCCAGTGCCGGTAGCAGAGAAAGAAAAGCCAGTGGAGGGCGTAGTGGTTGAGGTCTTCGCAGTGCCAAACGTGAAGCCGCCAGTAGGGGCTCCGGAGCCTCCAAAGTTAAAGCCGCTCATGGCTGCAACAGGTCCGTCTACGTCTGCAACCCTGGGGAGGTTTCTAGAGCAGAGGAAGTGACATGGTCAGATGGCAATCTGGGGACAAGCAAGCTCAGTGGTGTGGACGGAGGCTGCCTCCTCCTATGCTAACCTAAACAACTGGAAAGCCAGCAGCAACCAGGGACAAGTTCCTGCTGGCGAAGAGACCTGGGAGTGGGGTGTGCCTGGGCAGCTCCCACAATGGCAGGGCGGAAAGGTAAGCCAGTGAACAATCCCAGGACACACAACTCCTGGGCCTGGCTCCTCCCAGGCCTGCCTAGCTGAGTGAGAAGCAATGTGGAAGCCAGGCACCCCCCTCACCTCTGTGGCCGGGATAGGCTGGGCCTGCACCCTACTAACGCGGAGGAAGGGAGGGACCCAGGTGTCCCCCTGGCTGTGGGGTAGACTCAGGGATCACAGATGTTGCTTGGGGCTCTCTGGGTGGAGGGTTGGGGATGGGCTGAGCCTTCTGGACACCTGCTTTAAGCGACTGCAGGTGAAGAAACTCCAAGCTTCCTTCCAGTGCCAGAGTAGCCAGGCTCTGAAAGCCAGGGTAGGGGGTGGGGAGCCCCTAACTTGAAGCAGGGAAAGTTGAGTCAGATGTGCAGATGGAGCAGAGAGGTGCTCTCCCAGGCCATGGCCCCGGCCCCAGCCGAGCGCAGCCCTCTCAGAGCCTGTGACCAGCTGTGGCCGACTAGGGTGACAGGGCCACTCCTTCTGGGGCTGCAGTGGCCAAGGTTCTCTCAGTGAGGCACCAGTTAGCCAGGCAATGTCTTGCCTTTCCCCTCACAGAGCTTTGTCTTACAGTGTGGACGGACTGCAGTCCACCTCCATCTCCACGTGCTCCTCCCGCAGGGCCCTGAGCTCCCACCGCTCAAAGCCACACCCTGCCCTCAGTAACCACCTTCTGCTAAAACCTGCACCATTTGTTTCTACCCAATGTGTAAAAACACAACAAAACCCTGTTAACATTCAGCTACACGCTTGTCTTTCTTTTCAGTGCCCTCGCTACAGAGTGAATGTCTGCCTTAATGGTGTTCTTGAATCAGCCCCCACACACACACCTTGTAGGACTCTGCCTTCGTGCCAGGGCCCTCCCTCTCTCCAATTTTGTGACCTTTATGACTGATGACCTGACACTAAATTTTTAAAAATTCTTACTAAAGCGCCTCACCTTTAGTCAACTGGGTTTAGACTACACTGAGCTGTTTAATGTAGGACAGCCAGGCTCCAACTTTTCCAGCAAGTGCAAGAGGCCAACTTAGCGAGCTCACTGGGTTCAGATGGCCTGACCCCTTCTGCAGAGGTTAAAACTTTGCCTTGCTGAAATGTTATGTGGTCCTTTTCTTGGGACCCCAGACCCACTTCTAACCACCTGCCATCCACTTTTCCTGAGCACTCACCACCATGTTCAGCTAATCTGGTGGGTTCTAGGGACTGACCAATGGGCTTCAAACTTGTGGCAAGCACTTTACTGACCACTACCTTCCTAGCCCCTGGCCTTTTCGTTTGAGGCCTCAGCCTCTCCAGCCCGTAGGGCCCACAGGAACGGCTACCACGCCTCCACACATGTGCCTTTTTTTTTTCCCCCCTGGTCTGAGACAGGGTCTCCCTGTAGCCCCAGCTGTCCTGGAACTCACTACGTACACCAGGCTGGCCTTGAACTCCCAGAGATCCGCCTGCCTCTGCCTCCTGAGTGCTGGGATTAAAGGTGTGCACCACCACGCCCGGCTACATGTGCCATTTTAAGGCCCCAAGTTTGTGCTAAGCAGAGACAGCAGCTAGAGGAAGCAAATACATGCATGGCAGATCTGAGTGACCCTGTATGTCCATTATCCTCTCTCATCAAGGGAGGGTGACACCCAGGGACGTGAGTTGGGAGCTTACTGAGGCTGTGGCCACAGGGCAGGCACAAAACCACATTTTCAGGGTAAGAAAGGAACGGCTGCTTAGTTCCTAGGAAGCCCAGGCTATGACAAGCTCAGGCTTACTGTGAACTCTGTTTCTGTCCCTGCTCAGTGAGTCATGGGTGGTGGTGTCAAAGCATAGTCCTAATAGACTTCCAAGCAGTGGACCACAAACCACTGTGGGCAAGGGCTTTGTGGTGCTCCTAGGAGACAAGATTATGCCCAGCACACAGATTCGGGACAGAGCTCAGGGAGAAGCAGTAGGCCACGGGCTACATACGCCCCCTGTACCTCTACCCCAGATACACAGCCCCTATTCTGTAGCCCATCTTCCTCTCACTGAAAGCAGCACTGCTCCTTCCTGTGGGCCCCTGGGTGAGTCACTCCTGGGGCTCTTGGCACCTGCTCTCTTCCCTCTATGGTACCCTGACCCTGACCCCACCCTGCCTCCCCAGACCCGAACTTTCTCTGGCCACCATCTCTGCACAGTCCTGTGTGTCTCTGGTCTCGATGCTGGGGTGCATCACTGTACTACAGGGGTTGCTGAGGTCACTTCACTCCCAAGAAGTCATCGTGGGCGTTGAGCCCCAGGGCCACTGGAGTCCTGACCAGCACCGGAACCCCCCTGGGGTGACAGACACTTCCTCAGTGGTAAGCCGCCCACACATCCAACCATGCCTCAGTTCTTAAGAACTCAGCTGCAGAGCTTTTACTATTAATAAGCTACAGCTAAAATTTCCCATTTATAAAAAGCAATTCTTAGTCTATGAGAAACATCTTGGAGCCCCAAGAGATGTGATGCCCACGCCAAAGGCCATCAAACTGCCCATTGCTAGATATGCCTCATCAGCAAGGCTAGTCAGTGGGTGGGAGAGCCCAGAGATGGCAGAGGCTAAGGGCAGCAGGCTGCTCAGACTCTGCACCTCCCACACAAAGATCTGGCCACTGTTCAGTTCCTGGGAGACTGGAACCCTGCCAGGCAGTCTATGTTAACGTGATTTATGGTAGACTAGGGAGCACAGCAGTGACCCACACAGAAATGCCAGGCCCCAGGGAACGTCCTTGCCTTCGAATTCCCCATCTTAACAAGGCCTTGAGGTCACAGGCGCCCACAGCTGCACCTGGAACTTGGCTTCCCCTTGGACTACTAACCAAGCCATGGCAATCCACCTGGGATTCGGTGGGAGCAGCGTGGCAAAGCTTGGGTGCCCTGTGCCTTCTCTGCTAGGGCGGTTATGGGGAGGCAGTACCGTGTGCTACTCGGAGATGGCAATGCTTGGAAGGCCAGCAGAGGTCAGCCAGGTGTGCAGCAGCTTGCCCAGTCCTGCCAGAGGGGAGGTGGTCCCTTTAACAAGATGTGGGAGGTGCTGGCACAGCCACAAATGCCACACTCCCAGCTCAGACTTCTTACTGGAGCAACCAAATCCCGTCTCTCAGCCTAAGCCACCACTGGGGTTGAGCTGTGGCCTACCCACACAGTCAAAGGACTCCTTCCCCAAGACTCCTCAGCAGAACCCAGGTGTGTGTGTGTGGGAGGCATGAGGCTCTGCAGAAGCCAGGGCTTTCCTGTCAGCTGAACAGCCCAGCATGGACAAGGAGCCCAGCCCTCTGGATCTGGCACTCCCTCCCATACCTCAGCTTTTCCATCTGAAAACACAAGGATGTAAATGACAAAACAGCATAAAAATTGCTTGGTACATCTATAGATTTGTTTATAATTTGTTATTAAAATTATTAAATTTTAATAACTTAAAAGTCTAAACAGGGTTATGACACAGTTTTCCTAAATTGATTATCAATTCTTAAGAAGAACAAATGCCTTTCTGTACTAATTATATTGGTAAATTGTCACGTGCTGTTTGAGCTCACTAAGACGCTGACTCTGGAGATGGGATCGGCCCTTCCACTTCAGATCCAAGTCTAGGCTACAAAACAGCCTAAGAGTAAATACACTATACAAATAAAAACAGCTAAGGTGTAACTATTACAACAGAGGGTATTACTGTCTATAGTAAAAGTAGTTAATGGGATTTAATGGGATTATTTGGTCACTAACACAGACTAATGTAAAATGTATGTATGTATATGAATATATATAAAGTACTTCTGGCTTTTAAGAGTTTCTTTCATATACATCTGATCAAAAATTCATCAAAGTAATAGGTCTTGGTTTTAAAACTGGTTTGTGGTGATATTGTGTCTAACCACAGTATTTATTAAATGAGACTGTTATGGATTTATGTTTAATACTAATAAAACAATTATTAATAATTTACTAGATATCAAATTGAATGTAAGTTCTCTTATAAATTAAATTGTTAAATTACTAGATATCAAATTGACTTGTAAGTAAGTTCTCTTGTAAACTAAAATTGTTAAATTACAACATGGTTCCTATTAAAAATATAAATTAACTTTTAAGAAATGATTGCTTCTGCTCCAGGGTGCAATTTATCTTTATGTTTAGATATGTTTTATATAAAATGAACATTTTCCAAGTCTGTATAAAACATCTCTAAACCTTTAAAGGAGCCAACCTTAACAGCAGGGTTCCCCAACAGTCAATAAGGATGTTGCAGATATGGCTCAGCAGTTAAGAGGATTGGTTGCTCTTGCAGAGGACCCATGTTCAATTCCCGGCAGCTAACAATCATCGGTAACTCCAGTTCCAGGGGATCTGACACTCTCTTCTGACCTCCATGGGCAGTGCATGACATAGGAGCATTTACACACAGGCAAAA